GGGGGGGGGCGTGGCGGGCGTGAACCACTGCCGGCGGAGCCGCTGAAAAGCCCAAGCCAGGCTGCGGGAGCTGGCCTTTCCAAGAGTAACAAGGGACAGGACAATAAAGCAGAATTCTTTATTGGAGGCGCCAAGAGTAGGAACAATCACAACCCTCCGAATTCCCCTCCCGGGCAATCCTGCCTGTCAGCTGGCACCAGGGTGGGCAGCGTCAGGTGTTCACTGTGTGCGTGCTACTAGACAATGGCTCTAGCCAATAGCCCTCGGCACTCCAGGCAACAGCAAGAACCTTTCCCGAACACCACAGCTTTGACTTGCCAGTGTGGCTCACGGCGTGTGTCATCACCAGAGAGACAAAGCGATAGGGCAGGGAGATTTGGGGGGGGAAGAGCAGGAACATGGCTCCTAGGCAGAAGTGCAGGGGCAGGTAACCTGGGTAGGCTCCAGGATGACATCACGTATGGATTCTGAGGACCGGGCAGGCTGTGCTGTCTGGGCAAGCTGCAGCAGCCCCAAGCAAGAGATGGCCTTGCGAGACCCCCAGGGCTTTCCTGCCTCCTGGTCTCCAGCACAAGCCAAACCAAAGGGAGACACTGAGAGGCGGAGGCAGGGAGGGGAGATTAAGTGGGCCCAGAGCAGGGCTGAGCTCTGACTCACTTCCCAGCCCGGCGCTCCTCCTGGCGCTTGGTGAGGATGTATTTGAAAAACTCGTACACAGACCAAGCTATTGCTGTGGAGGGCATCTGGTAAATGACCCGGGCCTGGACCCCACGGAAGTAGGCGGTCACACCGCCCACTCGGTACACCGTCCTGAAGGCATTAGCCATGCCTGTGATATGTCCACTGATGTTGGAGTTCAAGGCCAGGGACTCCTGGGTGTTGAGCAGCGTTTTGCAAACGTCCAATGGCGTGGTAGCAGCAGCAGCCACGGCACCTGCGCAGGCCCCCGAGACCACATGGGAGCCAGGGTTGTACTGTCTGTGGGGGTTGAGCTGCTCCTGCAGAAACTCATAGGTCATGAAGTGGATGGCTTGGAAGGGGATGTTCATGGTGAGCTGGGTGGTGTAGCTGCGGTAGAAGGCTCCAGCCCCTTCATTGCGCCATACGGCTCCCCAACAGTCCGCCACCCCCCGGCGGTGG